ACAAGCGAACAAAAGCATTTTGGTGAGAACTTTCAAGAAAAAAGGTTATTCGTGATGGAATTCAAGCGTGATAGTGTAATTTCTTTATATTTGGCTGGAAAGCCACAAGTGGATATGGATAGTGGATAGTTACCGTGATACTGGTAGCATAGCCCGACGTCAAAGAGGTGAATGGAAGAAAACAGCAACATCAGCAGAATAGGTGGTTTGAAAAGTAAAGAAGCGACTTGATCGAAACCCGCGTCGCAGTGGCCGAAAAATGGCTTGTGAGCTGAAAATATCGCAATATCCCATTCGGCAAAATTTGAAAACTGAGCTCGGGGTAAAGCCATTGAAATTCCAAAAAGTGCAAGACCTTACACCGCAACAGAAAGAAGATATACTCAAAATAGCTAAAGAGTTGCTTCGCTTGGCCGATTGTGGTGAACTGTCGAATTTGGTTTTCTTCGATGAGAAAACATTCGTTGTCCAGCAGTTTGTAAACAAACAAAATGATCGTTTTTACTTGCCAATGAGGTCAGCTGAAAATGTTTATCTTCGGTTGGCAACCAGAACTCAAGCGCCGGCCATGGTGATGGTGTTGGCCTCCATAAAAGCCGATTGTTGCTCTCCGATCGTATTAATCGACCGTGACATCAGAATAAGTGCCAAATATTATCGCGAAAATATTCGGAAGGTTGTATTAAAGCCTTGAGCACGCAAACATTTTGGCCGCAGACCTTGCACATTCCAAAAGGACACAGCAATGGGCCAAAATACAGCAGAGCAACATTCGGGCAGCATGTGACGGTTTCATTGGCCGTTTGAAGGCCATAAATCGTGCCAAAGGTGACCAATTCGAACAAATCTAAACTTATTCTACAATTTGATGCTATTTTCGACATTTTTTGCTTTCATTCATTAAAATTTAAAATAGTGTAAAAATTATGGCGTTTTATTTTGTTGCAGTTTTTTTTATCTCTCCCTGTATAGTGGGCTTTATTGGAGTTAATTTCTTCCAACTTGAAACTTAAATTCTTAATGAATTTAAACTTTGCTCCCTTTTCTCACATTCGCTCTCCCACCCTCTTTTTTAACCCTTTCTGAATTCGGGAAAAATTCGCTTGCTTTGTCTTTAAATGTACCTTCACGAACATCAAATGTTGATGGTTCCTTTTAGAGTTCCAAAAAAATCGTCATTTTCAGCCCCAAAAAATATCTGTTACAGTCACAATTCACAGACCTTAAACTATTCTCCCGAATGCCAGTAGTAGAGAAGAGAAAATTGTTTGTCTACGTTATGGAAGATAATTTAAAGGAAAATAAGAATTTTTCATTAAAATTCTTGCAAGGACAGTCAGAGCCAAGGCAAAGGAATTATAACATTGAGAGTGTTCTGTGAGGACGTCTAGAGAGTTTGTATTTGTGTTGGTATGTCTGACCCTTGACGAAGGACACCTGTTGTCTGTCTGTTTGTTTGTTTGTCTTTACAAGAGACCCGAAAATGAATCTTTTGTATGAGGCCAAGTAAAATGCATTTGAATAGGCTGCAGTAAATGTAGATGTGTTGTCTTTTGGGAAGCAGACAAATGCGAAATTAATTCATATTTTTTTCTTTTTCTCTTTTGCCTTTGTGACCAGAACGTTCATGGACGTAGAATAATTTGATTTATTGAGGTGATAATTATTTTTCTATGAGTTTTCTACTTAGAAATTGTGGTTGGTGGGTGGTGAGGTATAAATTTCGGACATTGAACGGACTTTTTAAATATGTAATATGGAAATACAGTAGACTTTTATATTACTTCTTTTATAAAAAAGATCCACGTCGTTGCCCTAATGAAGTAATCATAGTTCTAAATTTCAAAAATAAATATTTAGTTTGAGATTATGCTAAGTTTATGAATATGAATTATGTGAATATAAACTAAAATAAAACTGTGTAACAAATTTTAAATATTTTAAAACTACAGATGACACGTGTAAAACTAGATGACACGTACATGCCCATCCCAAAAATTCACATCGCATTCACAATTCACATCTAGGCCTCCTATAAGACAAAGAAGACCTCAAGGTCTTATATCGACAAAGAAAACCTCAAGGTCTTCTATAGACAAAGAAAACCTCAAGGTCTTCTATATAATAAAACTGTTTCTTTCTATAGAAGATACCTCATGGTCTGTCATAAAGAAAAACTTCATGCTCTTCGATAGAGAAAGACCTCATGGCCTTCCATAGAGAAAGACCTCATGGTCTTTCATAGAGAAAGACCTCATTGTCTTTCATAGAGAAAGACCTCATGGTCTTCCATAGAAAAAGACCTCAGGTCCTTATATAGAAGATCTCTAAGTCTTTTATAAAAGTAGAAGGCCTCAGGGTGAAAAAATGCTAACATCAGATCGTTTACTACAACCGATTCCCAATTGTATGGAAATGCAAACTTCTGTTCTTAAATGGACGAATACATCGAGGTATTTGTCATAATATAAAATCTTCTTAACAATTCCTTGCTGCAATTTAAATTGAGAATGCCTAATACCTACAACAATTCAATGCCATAATATAGAAAATGATACACATACCTACAAACACTCTTAAGCATACACTGCAAGCTATCAATGCATAAGTCCCTTATACGCACTGTAATAATACGTTGCAGTATACGATGTATATATGTGTGTGTGAGCATGTGTGAAATCGTATCTGTACACATACGAATGGTTTGCATTCATTCATATCCTTACATCCCAAAAACAACAACAATTCGAACCTTTGTCTTTTCCCTTTTCTTTATTGGTTGCCTTGTGTCCTTTTCACTGCCAAAACTTCAGAGAACTTTGAAAGACATGAAAAAAACATTATCGTTTGTCTTTCCCAAATATTTTTTTCTTCTTCGTTTTTTTTTCACTGCAGATGCTTTGAATTTGGAATTTTTGAATACGTATTGGAATTTTAGATTTGAATTGTTGTACAGACATATGTTTGCATTGCAGCAAGTGGCTATGTAACACATACTGTGAACAGTCGGAAATGCAAAGGAGAAAAAAAGCCAGAGTCCATTTTTTTCCAAGAAGCTATTCAAAGCAATTGTCAACATAAGAGTTGTAGCTGAGAAGGATTACAAAGAATTTATGAATGCCCAATGGAGTTGTGGAGATAAAATATGTGGAATTTTTTCCTTCGTTCTCTTCTCTGGTGTTGTTACATTTTAAGTGATCAATTGAGCTCGGTTTGAAGTGAGTATTATATGCTCTGGGGGGGTTTAGACAAACTTAATTCGGAAGGGCAGAATTTGCATAGTAATTTAATGGATTTTTTCTAAATATTGTATATCCTGAGTTATTTGAGCCAAAATGGAAATTTCAATGAAAATACATTGGCATATGTCAGCCAATGGAGCAGGTTTTAACCTGATTAAGGGAAAGAAATTTTTTCCTGGGGGAAATGTGCGATTACCCGGTTATTTGAACCCGAAAGTTGGGATGCAACATCCGGTTTTATCCGTTATTTGAACCGGTTCCGGAGTAATGCAAGAATTTTTATATTTTCATACCAGTACAATTTGAAAAACTCCTAAAAACTTGGAAATGAACCCATTGTGGGGTAGAAGGGCTGTTAGTTAAGGGCTCATGGCACATCATATATGAAATGGGAACCATGTAAAGTTCTCCATTACAATAGGCTTAATAAAAGGCAATTTATAAATAGTGGACCCATATGAGACCTTCTAAGAGGAGCTATGTGAAGCCCTCTTTGAAAAAATGGCTAATGTAAGGCCCTCTGCCAATAGAGGATGTAAATAAGGGGATCCACATAAGACCCCCTATGAATAGAAGAGCTATACAGGAATTGTGAGCTTCTGGAATGCTTTCTATTCAAAGGTGATATATAGAAGGTCCTCCATGGACATACAAATGAATAGAGTTAAAAGGGACCTTGTAAAGCCCTCCGAAAAATGATAATCCATATAAGGCCATCAATGAAAGGACCAATATAAGGTCCTCTATAAATAGAGGAACTATAAAACACGAACAAGGCCATCCATAGATGTACGAATGATTAGTTTTTTTCTAAAAATAGACCCATAGAAGCCCATGAAAAGCGAAACTTAACCTTTCCAAAATGGTAACATATGTGCTGGTATCTCTCTTAAAGTCTATATAGATATTATTGTTGAAAATCATGAAATTGATATTTTCAAAACTAATACGTACCTAGCCTTTTTAAGAAGAAGGTCTTCGGAGACTTGAGATTTTCTCCTCTGGAGTATGTCCAACATAGGGTATGCGATTTATTGTTTTTCTGAACATTGTAATTGTTAGAAGTAGACGGCCTTTGGTCAGGTCTTGAGTATTCTACCCTGTGGTACGTCCACCCTGCAACACGATCTATAGTTTTTCTAAGCAATGTAATTGTAGAATGTAGTATGTAGTTTTAAAACCCCTTTAGGTGTCCATTTTAATGGGTTTTTTAAAAAGTTCCAGTACAAAAATACCAAATTTCTTGTATTACTCCGTAATCGATTAAAACCATCATATGACCACTTATTGCATAGGTATTTCCACAAGCTTTCAAATTATTTGTAAATATCAGTTTTTTGAACCGGATGAAACCAGGATTTTATAGCGAACTTCCGGTTAGAACAACCGAGTATTTCCCCCACGAAAAATTAAAAAAATGCCGTAAACAGTTTAAAAACACATACACGTGGTAGAAAATTCAGGTCGAGCATAGCTTCTAATTTTTTTTTTTAATCCAACCAACAAATATACCGCTGTTTAAATATTTAAAATATTTATTGCAGTAGGGGAAACTTAAGTTAATAAGCTTTCCTACAAAAATTAAATAAATAAACCACTCGATAAAAATAATTTCTCTTTTCACATTTCAATGCAAATATTTTTTTGTCTTTATCAATAAACATATTACATTGATTTTTAGAAACTGTATTTTCACTTATAAAAGAGATATTAATATAAAAACGTATCTAAAATAAAAAGAGTCCAATTTTAACTCACCTTCCTGAATTGGCATCCCTAACGAAGCTCCTTGTCATCAAAACAAAAACAAAGATCTAGCTGCAACAGCGAACCACGATGTCATGGTTTTGCACTATGAGTGGGAGAACAATTGAAAAACAATTATCTCTCTCCCTCCATTGGAAAGAGCCAAAGAAAAGTAAAAAAGAAAACACGAACACAACAATCAAAGGTTTTGTTTTATAATTTTATTAATATTTGTCATTTGTATTGCAATTTCTCCTGTTCTTTGCTGTCTATTGATATTCACTTGTAAAATGCACATTACTATTTGCCAAAAACTAATAAAACTACCGAATTCGCGAAACACTTCCACAACAAACGATTGTCTAGAAAACTCAAAGAGAACTGAAGAAAAACAAAGGACAGAGTTGCCCTGTCGAAGTATTCAACGAGAGATGGATATTTATTATGTACTTTACATGGTAGAAGAATATAGGTAGACGCGTCGACACAGCTGCTGGGACAATGAACTGTCAAACTAATCTTAGAATTGAAAATGTTGAATGAAAAATTATTTAAATTTATAAAAAAAAATTTAAAAAAACGCGAATTATATTAGCCTCCGAATGACGTAGTATAAGAAAACATATAAAAATCTACTTATATTTGAAAAAACATTTACATTTTTTTGACATATCAATGCTCCCAAGCGTTGATGCATCTACCTGTATCCTTCTGCCATGGTACTTTAAGGGGTCTATGCAGAATAATACAGGTAACAGAAAGTGTTGTTGTACAACAAACGTAAAAACAACCGCATACACATTTGTTTTTGTACGTAATGCAAGTGTCAGAATTATATGTCCAAACTGTAAACATAAAAATTAATTTTCAATAAATTATTTTAATTTCAAATAGGTTCATTTTTCGTATTTCGATTTTTATATAAAAAAATGCAGAAAAATAGTTCTTAAAATATGTAATTATAATTCTTTCATATCATTCCCCTGGCTGTATAGTTGAGAGCTATATGTCCAAATCTCTCAAGACTTCAAGCAATCGCTAGAAAACCGTTGAAAAAGCAACATCCCTTTCAAATTAAAACAAAACTGTATACATCCATAAAGTATTCTATATTTTACAATTTTAGAAAACATATTGTATATTGTTACTATACGACAATATTACCTAATGTGGTTTCGATGTTCTTTAACTGCGGAAAAAACAGCGAATTTGTCTATTATTAGGCAATACATATGTTCACATTGCCCTGGAGTAACATTTTATACCAAAAAGGTGTATACTGTATATCAAGAAAAAGTAATCCGTTCTTCATACCAAATCTCGTGTTTGTAGAAATATTCAGAGTGCGAAATTTGAAGACAACTCCCTCTTTACATTGTATATATGATATATGATTATTCAAAATGTTGAGGCTTTGTGGGGGGAGGAACCAAAAGAACCGATGCATCCCTTCTCCATAAGACATTCTGTATTGATGCAAATGTTTGGGTGTGCCGTTCAATTTGCCTTTTATGGGCGTTATTGTTATCCAAAATTTTAACCTACGAGGAAGAAACATACATTGCGGGACGCGCATTAAAGCTATTCCCCAGTTTGCCATACATTTGAAGAATCAAACTGTTTTTTGATCATATTTTTTTTAAAGAAAATCAAGAGGAAAAGAATCAAATAAATTAAAAAAAAGTAAGCCAGTCTTCATGGTCGAACTAAGTAGGTAAAGTCATGCAATCATAAGATTACAATTTTTTCAAATTTTAACCTTTGACAACATCTCAATGTCATAATCTATATTCACAAATCCATAGTATATACACAAAATCGGACATGGGGACTGTTTTCTATGCAGTGAAATTTGACAAGATAAATAGCAGAAAATGCAGAGCTGGGAATGCTTATTTGAAATGAGGTTACCTTTCTGTCATTGTACAATGCCAGTCTTTAAAGATCGAAATCCCAGAAAAACCGTCATAAAAATGTTGGCACAATCTTGTGAATATTATTTACTTGCTATATGTCTACATCTTTCACTGACAATTTTCTGTAATAAAATTAAGGCCGAATTCGAGATGACAATCTTCGACCAGTATTTTAGCAGAACAAGCCGCGATATTGGCAATTTTCAAACTTGTTCTAGATGCGGCGAAATTATAGTTTAAAACAAAACTCAACCATTCATAATCAAACCTTACATACATAACTTATTACGCTAATATTTTTAGGTGAGGCATCGTGGCAGATTGGCATCATGGTTAGGCATAATAACTTTAAGTTAGAAGGAGATTCGACATGAGATTACGTTTGTAATTGTGTACAGGGTGAGATAAAAAAATGCAATAAAGCCAAACGTCATAATTTTTCTTTTTTTTAAAGAAAAGAAAAAAGTGTCCGAAATAGGATCACATTTTAGAATAAATTTAGATTTGTTCGAATTGGTCACCTTTGACACGAATTATGGCCTTCAAACGGCCAATGAAACCGCCACACGCTGCCCGAATGTTGCACTGTGGTATATGGCCCATTCTCGGCAAAGCGCTTGCTTGAGGTGATCGGCACTCTGGTATTTTTTAGTGCCAACCGTGCTTTCCCAATTACTACAGGCACAATAGTCCAACGGATTGGTATCCGGAGATTTTGGTGGCCATTGTGCGCTGGAAATGAAGCGAGAAACCTCATTTTGTAAGCATTCTTGGGTGACGCGTGCTGAGTGCGATAATGCTGATTCCTGTTGGAATGTCCAAGGTGTGCGGACAAAATGTTTGCATGCCCAAGGCTTTAATATACCCTCCAGAATATTTTCGCGATAATATTCGGCATTTATTCTGAGGTATGACAGCAGTCTGAAGTTGGTTGCAGGTTTACATCTCACCCTGTATGTATGTCAAATATATAGGAAAACAAGTGAAAAAACAGCTAAGTTCGGCCGGCCGAACTTTTAATTCGCAAAAAACAGTCGAAATGAAATCCGTTATATTGGGGAATACAACATTTTTTGTCATTGGATGCGTACTACAGTTTCAAATACGAAATTTCCGGTGAAAAATTTCACTAAAATAATCAAAATACCGAATAATGAGAGGTAGCTTTATATGAGGGGTATACGAAATCGTAGATCATTACAAACTTTGAATATAAAATTTGTAACAATTCCGTAGCATTACGTCGTTAATAGCATCAAAATACCAAATATCGGAATATACCGTTATATTTGGCCTATACGAAAACGAGGACCGCATAGTTGATTTACGAACTTGATCTGCCTACTGGCTAAACATTAAAGTGCATTTTCTTAGGATATTTTGTAAGGTCTATCATTAGTATTTCAAGGAGATACAAAGGGAATGACAAGGTCAATATACCATTCATTGTTTTCTGTCATTACTCTCAAACTGGTTTTGGCATCTTAATGTGGCGTTTCCACTGCACTTGATTCGCTCTCTATTCGTTGTTTGACCCTTAACTATGAAAAAACTACCTAATTCTTCACACAAAATTTCCTGAGCGAACACTCATATGCTAGGAACACAATTGGAGCGAACGACGAATTTCGCCCTACGCGGCGACAAAATGAGCCGCGAAAATTCGTCGTATGGAACACAATACCGACGAAATTATAAAACAGCTGATGAAGTTGTTTACTTTTTGCTCATTTGTTGACTACAATGAATTATACAAGAACACATAATTCTTTACGTTCTCTATTATAATTTCACTTATGTCCATCTTCTCTATTATAAATTCACTGATATCCATCTTCACTCAGGCACAAGTACACAAATAAATAAACAAATTAATTAGGTTTTTTTATACGAGTAACAGATAGTAGAGTGACCATAACAAATTTTAAAGTAAAAAGTAACTTTATTTACTAAAACACATAAAATTCGTACAAGTATGGCCACCTTGTACTGTTTTGTTCGCCGGTCGCCGGCGTATGAAATAGAAATAAAGCTAATTGAGTTCGCGGCGACCGACGAAATTTTCGCCGGTGCCGTGATTGTGTGCACTTCCATATACACATATGTGTTTTATTTTTGACGGCGAACATACGCCGCGAAAAAATTCGTCGTTCGCTCCAATTGTGTTCCTAGCAATATTTGTACGTTGTTCAAATCAAATCACTCTCAGAACAACGAAAAAATATGTCCCATCCCTAACAAATGAGAGCATTTATCGAAAAAATAAATTATGACATTTAAAAATTATAAATAGAAAAATTTAATGAAATTTTAAAAATTTTTGGGAAGACTGAAAATTATGAATGAAAACTACAATGTTGAATGGCGTATGTACATTCAAACGAAAGTAAATTTTAGTGTTTGTTTTCTCTTTCGAGACGAGCTTAATGATCTGAAATTTGCAGTGAAAAGGAAAGCCAGATAGACACTATCACACACTCACCACTATGCGACGCGTTTCGCCGTTGGTTAAGCGGCTCATCAGGCATATTTGATGTGGATGATGGCTTACAAGGGCCGTTCTCTGGAAAGTAGTATATATTTCGAACTTATTGCAAATTAGCATATGCGAATTATACACTAGAAATTCTCCAGGTTCGACTCAAGTTCTATTGGCAGATCTTTTTCACAGCAACGTTTTTGTTTTTGTAGTGATGGATTTTTTGTCCACAACAACTACATTGCTTCCAATGCATACACTTGTTTTAGTGCTGCTTTAGGAAGACGGGTTAATGGCTCTGAACGTAGAGACGGCAACTTCTAGTTGGCTGCACACAGAGGTCCGCGGTTCAAATCCCACAGCCAGGCTCGGTGAAAAAGATCTGCCAATAGAACTTGAGTCGAACCTGGAGAATTTCTAGTGTATAATTCGCATATGCTAATTTGCAATAAGTTCGAAATATATACTACTTTCCAGAGAACGGCCCTTGTAAGCCATCATCCACATCAAATATGCCTGATGAGCCGCTTAACCAACGGCGAAACGCGTCGCATAGTGGTGAGTGTGTGATAGTGTCTATCTGGCTTTCCTTTTCACTGCAAATTTCAGATCATTAAGCTCGTCTCGATAGAGAAAACAAACACTTAAATCATAAAACATATGATCTTCGCCTTAATAAGGCAAAACTCGAAAGTAAATTTTGTTTTCTCTCTCATTCGAGGTACGCATTTGGTCCACGAGTTAAAATTTCTACAGAAACTGCAAACAAAATAGTCAATATTTTCAAAATGTTTCTATCGGCAGAAAAAATGTTTGACAAGTGTCTCTTTAGCAGAATTTAAAAATGGGAAAACACAAAAATATGTTCAAAATGTCAACATTTACACAAAAAGTTGAAAACGTGAATGAAAATTGTAAAATTAATGATATAATAAATCTTTGGGAGAAATACAATAATTTCTT